GTGACAAAGACCCACGGTTTTGCAACGATGAGTGGAGGTCCTTCTGTTAGGAACTTTAGGTTGGACATGACATCTGGTAGACACCCTGAAGCCAATGGACATGCTGATGTGATGAACCAAATCTTGTTTCAGCTGGTACACCCTATCCAGGGCTCAACTCATGATAAGGCTAAGCCCAAATTGACCCGTGACACTACCGAGTTTGCCAGAAGCTATGAGAAGGATTTAGAGAAGGTCAGACTTAACATGTTCAAATTACAAAAGAGATGATTGAATAAGCTAACGAACACATACAATCTTCTCCTGTCTGCCCTGGACACTGGGTTTGGGAAAAACGTTCAAAACTAACAAATGAACACGACATCTCACGAAAGCTGTTGCCTGTTTATTACGGTCCATGGCAGGTTCTTGATAGTGTGGGGGCAGACCCGTTTGGACCCTCTTATGTCCTCGCTGAACCCCCACACATCCGGACCCATCCTCTCTTCCATGGTTCAAAACTGTTGCCTTTCAGTCCGGCTGACACATTCCCTGATCGGCCACAACAGTTCGGGCCTCCTATCCCTGGAAAGGGATATGAAGTCGAAAGCATTGAAGATCACTGGGGCAAAGGCCCCAACTGTGAGTGTCTTGTCAAGTTCCTTTTCCAACCTTGTACTGAGGACCGTTGGTTTACAAGAAAGAACTTCTCAAGTCTGCAAATTTAGTCATGCAGTTCTACGAGGCTGAGCAAAGTCGGAAATTGCCCAACCGGTCTTCTTTTGGACACTCCTAGCTCGGGGTCCTCACTCCCCGGGAGGGTAGGAATGCAATGAGTTGCAGTGCTAGAAGCAGGCTGTATACTATTTTTTTTCCATTTTGTCGTTGTCGATACTTGATCCCGCAACCTTTGTTTGTTGTGTTGCCTGTTTGCATTCTGTTTGCTTGTTTTAAGCCTTGAGAGACTTGATCCCCTGACCTGTAACTTGTGTGTGTTTTGTTTGTGAGTGTTGCATCCTCTGGGACTTGATCCCTGAGTCTGCCACTTGTGATCTCTGTTTGGTAGTCTTAGGTTAGTCGGCCTTCTACTTTTGCCCTGTCATAGGTCTGGGTCCCCTTTTCCCGTTTCCTGAGCAGGTATAGGGGAGTCGTAGGTTGCTCTTGTAGGTCTAGTCCGGGAGTAGAAGTAGCGGGCAGGAAATTAGTGTCGGGTCTTTTGCATCTCATTTTGACTGGGGAAACTCTGCCCATCCGTTGCTGGAGTGCTGCTGCGCTATTTTGGGCGAGGTCATCTTCTTCCTCGAAGCCCAGCCATAGCCGGGGTTGGAAAATGAAATTGAAGACTGCACTGCGGTTATTTCGCAGCTCTGCATGAGAGCTTCTGCAAGACTGTGTTCTTTGGTTTGCGCACTGCCATTTCCACTTGGCAGCCATATCTGTTGTTCCTCCTCATGAGGAACTTCATCTTCTTCGAAGTGCTGGATCAATTGTCTCCTTCTTTCTCCTTCTTCATCAGGACTTCCAGCACTGCACTTCCATGTGGGTGCTGAGCTGGCGCTGCTATCATTGGGGTTGCTGGTTCAGATTGGCACATTGTGACAGCTGTGAATTTACTGCTGCTACGGCAGCCATAGCCTGGGGTATGAGGTGACAAGGAGGAAAAAGAAGACTCCTGCATACTTTGTTGAACATTTGTTTTCCGTTGTTCGGGGTTGTTGACACCGTGGTTGTGGYTCTTGGAAAAAGTACTCTGGATTGATTGGAGGAGGACGGGGGATTGGAGAATTGAAATTCGTTTTTCTATTCTGTGTATTTTGAGCTTCCGCTGTGCATATCTCCTCTCTGGTTTTGAGTGGATTTGCCTCCTTCGGGTCTACTCTGCAATTGCATGCGTGAATGGGAACGTGTGAATTCACTGTGGATTGAAGTTCAATCGGGTACATAACAAATGTGACTCCCCGTGAGAGACGGGAGCAATCAAGGCCTCGGTATTTCAGTGCAGCTCTTTTGAGAATCTATCTGACAGCACTTCTAGCCAGGCCTGGGGTAGGTGCTAGTGGTGTCTGCTTTTATCAGCACCACTAACACTGGTGGAGAAGTGAMAAAAAAAAAAAAAAAAGCCAGGCCTGGGGTGGTACATGAATGAAAACAAGAAAACAACTGCCGTGTGTCGTTCCAGCTGCAGGCAGCAGGTCCATCATAAGGGTCAGTACTGGTGCCAGCCGGCCAATTTCCCCTACCGGATCCGGCCCCCTCCCGGCTTGGCAAAAACTTGGCCACAGGGCATTTTTAGGCTCGACATCAATAGCTGAGAAAGGTGCTGGTGGTTTAAGCAAAGTCTTGAAAGGCGGCTAAGCTTCCAGCAAATGAGAGTAGCTCAGGATAAACCACTGCTGCCGAATTCCCTAAAGCCTTACAGTCATTTTACGGACTTCACAAGGCAACTTCAGCTAACAGAAATAGAGTACTACTCAGACGACTACAAATTTAGGCTGGCGTGAGTGAAAGTATTTACACGATGGGTATGGCCCCCAAACTGTGTCCCCTTTTTTTTTGTTTTGGTACTGTAGGGTCAAAGTAGAACTCTCCGTTAGGTCTGTAGGAACAGTAGAGATCCGTACTAGTAGTAGTCAGAAGGTAGGGGGTCGCCACTTGTCCAATACCAGTCCAGTTGTAATTAACTCTCTGTGTACTCATCTCGTGTGTGAATTGGCGGCCTGCAAAGTACACTGTGTAGTTGCCATTCCTTTAGCCACCTGTCAAACGAACCCATGGAAGACTTAAAGTTCTAAAGCAAATACCGAGAAGCAGACAACGAGTGCAACATCACAATTTTTTAGATGATTCCTTCTGAGCATGAAGACGGCAATCGCAACACCTCGCCCCTTCTTGCGCACTCTTGATTGTTGTCCTGAAGTTGGGAGGGATCCTTGACTTAGGCATAGGACGAGGCATGACTGGTCGTGCTGTGGTGGAGCTTAGGAAGTACGGACCTGGTCACAAAATTGACCATTTTGTGCTTAGCCCATCACCATGGGGTCCGTAGCTTTATTCAATTCCTCACTTGAGGACGACTGTCGTCCCCTGGGTGACCTGCGTGACAAGTGGGGGGCATATGACGACTTCGCGGGGACCACGCAGGGTGGCAAATGGACGATAAGATCCGGTGGATGCTTGGGTCAGGTCTACGTGACACTTGGGAGGGTGAGATACGCATAAAAAAGAATGGATGCAGTGGCACCCGGTCTACACCTCCACAGCTATCGGTCACAGACGGATGTCAGTTCTGACTTCTACGGCATTCGGTTGACACCCGTGTAACACCTGCGTGACTTGGGTTCGTGTTTCTGAGAAAAATACACAGCAGATTTTAGTGTACCTGCCGTTTGCACACACGGCCAATCTGTCGTCGCTCACACCTCCACCGCTACAGGTCACAGATGGATTGCAGTTCTAAGGCATTTGGTTGACACAGGACGTCACACGTGTAGCACCTGCGTGACTTGGGTTGGCGTTTCTGAGAAAGAATACAAAGCAGATTTTAGTGTCCCTGCCCTTTGTACAAACCGCCGTCGCTCATACCAATTGAGTGGTTCGGTGAAGTGTCTGCATCATGATCATCCCGGCAGTTTGCCGCTGATGGTGCTGCGAGAATTTTATTGTACCTTATCATTTAGAGGAAGGAGACGTCATAACAAGGTTTCCTTAAAAAAAAAAAAAAAAAAAAACCAAAGTAGATTTAGGAGATCAAAAGTGAAGCTCTGACGCCCACACTGCCCGTGCATTTTCCATCGGTTGCGGAGCGTCACTCCCTTGTTGTTCGGGACATTAGCTGGCCTTGCTTCTGGCAGGCTGCATCTAGAAGATTGGAAAAAGGCTGCAGCTTATGTCATCATTCCCACCCTCCAATAATGCTTTTCTAAGAATGAAAGATGCAGGTTTTTTTTTTTTTTTTTTTTTTTTTTTTTTTTTATTTATTTATTTAAACAGGCCCTTATGGTCTTCCTGGCTCCATTTCCATTCTGGGGAGCATCAGTGCGGTTGCAGTTTTCCCAAGTACGTGAGTGAATTTCGAATGGTCTAAGCCACATTGAGCTGGTATATTCCCAACTGCTTCGAATTACTCACCATACACAATCCCCTTATCGCCTTCATCAAATTAAAAAATCACCATACACAATGTCCATTGACAAATTTGACATCCTGCCACAAGTTCTTCGCTGCCAGCCAGGTGTCCCTTAAAAATCATGATATCTTTGTGCACCAGTTCTCTGTCAATCAGGTCCTTTGGGACATCCGTTAGAATTGGATCGATACAAAGGAGACGATTAGGATGGCCCCTGTGTAAGGACAAGATGCATAAATCAAGGGAGGAGGAGTCCCCCTCTTTTGATCACGGCTTCTTTCCTTAACACATTACGGATGCGGGGGCGTACTGGCTTCCCAAATTTGTGCCCAGCAGTATGTATGCACACTCTATTCTAAGATCCTTTTTCGGCCCGTCTAGGTTCAAAAAGTGCATGTGAGCAAGTGATTTCCCCAACCTGAGCAGATCCTCACTGAAATGATCTCAAATCAGTGAAAAGCTGTCAAATTTTGAAGTTTAAACATCCCCCAGAGACCCACTGCAACTTTCACCCTGTTTGTCAAGCTCCTCTGTTTACACAGAAGAGTGATGGAATCATACCACAGCGTGTGCAACATCACATCCGGCGCAGCAGATTTGCAGAAAGAGAAAGCTCTGCTGCGTAGCCCCAGGCAGTCCTTGCTCTGCTGCTGTGGTAGTTCATGCAAGAGTTGCCGATAACCCTCTGTCACCGGCACCTTCTCTCGCAGAGGTTTATGCTCAACGCTGGCAGGAAACCTTTGTCACTGCGAGGTCACAGGATTCGTGTCAAGGTAGTTACGGTTACGGTGTGGGCTCAAGCTCATAACTCTTTATATGTTGTTTGCCGACTACCGTCGTCCCCCGAACACAACGCACCCTCATTTTGGCTGTGCACCGGACAGGAAACATAGCTGGTGTTCGGGGTGCGTTACGTTCAGAGGAAGGCGGTCACAATCAGATTAGAAACACACAGGGGGGCAGTGCAGCAACATTTTGTCCACAACCTTTCTTGCACATTCATGGACATCAACAAGGATTCGCAAAGCACATGCTCAAACCAATCGACATCGCTCGTGTGCCGCTTCGCGTCTGAATCCAATCCATAGGCAGCACACAACAACATGGCTCATAATTCACCCGACAGGAGCAACATGGTGGTGGAGCAACGTGCTCGAACCAATCAACATCTCTTCCAGTCCACACACCAGAAGACTTACTTGGAGCAACATGCCCGAACCAATCAACATCTCTTCCAGTCTACACACCAGAAGACTTACTTCGTATGCGCAAAAATGTGGTCGCATGCCCATACTTCGCCCGACAGGAACGACACGGAAACAAAACGAAATCACGCTCAGCAGCTTGTACAAGGAACTTCAATTGCAATCCGAACTTCCGAAGCCAGTTCAAGCCAGTACTCTCAGAATTGCACTAAATTCAGATTTCGAATGAATGTACGATGTGTGCTGGTTTTGTATAGGTCTCCTCCAGCCCACCAATGTTTTCTGACCAAGGAGTCGAAGCGTACGATTTTTCACAAAACCATGCTCTTATCAGGGACTCTGCAGCCAAACCGGAGGACGACTTGTGGAAATCTCTTTCTCACTGAAACCGACTCAAAAGTTCGAACCTTCAAGTGAATGTGGACATGTATGTGTGTACTGTTGCTGCGACAAAAAGGCGGCCCGCCTAACTTAATCGCTGAAAGCGCCTCAAGTGTCATGAACCCTTCTCCACCGAGCTCAGATCTAAGCACGACACACACTAAAATCATTACGCATAAAACCTGCTCACCGGCACCTTCTATCACTATAGTCCCACAGCACAGAAAACAAAATGCTTGGCTGCTGAGTCAACAGCATTCTGCAGCCTTCAACGGCATCCAAAGGCAGCAGTCACCATATGTACAGGGAGGCCGCCCACCGATACGTGCAGCAAACATCCGGCGGCCTTGTCAGGGTAATCTAGCTGGACTGGTAGCTAAAGTGAACATCCAGCAAAACAGCCTCGAAGCAGTGGAGGTTCAAAACAACTGAGCAAACAGGCTGATACCAAATCACACCAATAGATGTCAAAAATTGACGCCCGGATGGTTAATGGCCAAAGACCCGCGATGCCGCTTATTCGTATAAAGAAAGGCCCTCGCCATCTGCCTCTCCAAGTTAACAAAATTCACAACCTTGCCGGGAAACCTTTCTGAGAACTCTGCACAAGTTGCTGTAATTCTCAGAGTACCAGTAATCAATTCACACGTACCACACCGTGGTTAGTAGAGTAAAAATTCTGGGAAGACCTTTTTTTCCCTCCCTTTTCTCAAGTTCCCCTCAAAAGAGACATGTATTAAAAAAGGAATTTCTAAAAGTGTTTCTATACAACAAACCGCCCTTCCAGAACGCCATATGGAAGGACACGCTAAACTCTGTGTGTACTCGAAAGCACGTTATTCACACCATGATTTAGAAAGTAAACGCCAAATGCATCCCACCACGCCGTTGCACCCTTCAACTAAACCCTAAACGAAAAAATAAGCGTGCATGGATGGGGTAACCTCTACACACACACACACACACACACACACACACACACACACACACACACACACTCCACTTCCAGTACACACCACCACCAGAACTGTCTGTCATCCTCTTTGAAGGCCACAACTACCGTCTTCACCCGAATACAATGCCCGGTCATTATCGCTGCATCTGGACCAAAAATTGCACCAAATAGAGTGACAGTAATTATTGCTGCAGATAGACGGCCCCGTCTTCACCCAAAAAGAACGCCTAGGACTTATTGCTGCATCTGGACTGAAAGTTGCATCAAATACAGCTGTAATGACCGGGCATTCTCTTCGGGTGAAGATGGGTAGTAGTCAAAATTGCCACTCAGCTGAAAGACGTCACCAAGCACCCGTGAAAAAGGCAGGCACAGGCAACGCACATCCTTTCGTGCACATATGTCTTCTCTTTCCTGCAGCAGCTGATCGTGCACATATGTCTTCTCTTTCCTCCAGCAGCTGATCGTGCACATACCTGTCCCCTTTTTCTTCCATCAGCCGATCGCTCGCACACACCTCACTTGTTTCCTCCATAGGAATGCTGGGAACAGCAGCGAGTCCAGTGAAGCAGGCCATATGCAAAACCATTGTGTTCCTCACAGAAATGAGTGCATGCGCTGACACTCCTGTGCAGAAAAGCCGTCTGAAACACATTTCGTGAAGATCATGACCACTACTTCGCTTGTCAAACACGTCCAACTCTCCGTGCAAAAGAAAAGCCAACAGTGGAGATGCCTTCATAACCACCTACTGACTTCACCTCTATCCTAGCCTTCATCCTAAAACTTAGATCTTAATTCTAATCCCTTAAACCTTGCCTAATCAGTCACTTAGGAAGCTCTACTCCACATCCTACTGAAAGCAATCTACAACCCTCAAACCCTAAACCCTAAACCCTAAAATTCCAATTCGGGATCCTAGCCTTCATCCTAAAACTTAGATCTTAATTCTAATCCCTTAAACCTTGCCTAATCAGTCACTTCGGAAGCTCTACTCCACATCCTACTGAAAGCAATCTACAACCCTCAAACCCTAAACCCTAAAATTCCAATTCGGGCGAAAAAACGAACATCTTAGCCTAAAACCCCAAACCCCGAACACTGGGACATCAGGCCCTAGACCTTAAACCCTAAGCCCTCATTGGTAGACCCTAAGCCCCAAACAGCAAACACTGACCCCAAGACACCGAATCCTGATCTGGAAACCCTACACCCTAAGACCTTAACTTTAAACCACCAGTACCAGTACTTTTGAACCTTCCCTTGCTGAGCCTGGAGACGCCCTGCACGCCAAAACAAAAAACAAACCGGCGCAGGCTTTCGTTTGGCTGCCACCGCCAGCCACTGGCTCCAGTAGGCCGGCCCCTGAAACTTGCGGATCACATGCGGTCGCGTCGGGAGAAAAATGGCTTGCAAACGTACTGGTGATTTAATACTCTGAAACAAAACCTTTGAGCCCACCAACACCTCGGAGCATCTTTTGCCGAATCTGATGCTTCATGCTGCTGACGCACCCAGTGCATTTGATGCGCAGCCATTTATCGGGACGACCATCACCTACGGAGGCCTGCCCAAGCCGTGCAGCTTTGAAGTACACTTCACGAAATGCGCCAGCCGAGTCCCATTCCATTTAGGAATGCTGTCATCATAACCTTTGTAAAGTCCCGAGTTCTAACCCTCAGGAAACCCTGAGATTCAAAGCCCCTGCCAAAAGCCATTGAACCTATAACCCCACAAAACACTCGCACAACAAAACCTGCGCCTCGATCAAAAACCCCTGACCCAAATCTCCAAATGAGCGGAGAAAATCACAGTCTCACACACGCTGGAACAGAGGCCCTGTCCACTGTCTGGTGTCTGGGATAATGTTGCTGGGTCCATAAGGCCGTTGACACTCTCCAATTGAGAAGTCAGTCTATCAGAGCCAGAAGGGTATTATGGCTTTGCGATTCTTGGGATAGTTTTCAAACTTACACAGATACCATTTGTGTGTCGGCTTTGCTGCAAGGACCAGATTTCCAATCTGCAACAAGGCAAAGGGACATGCATAAACAAAGCACACATTTAAAACAACGTCCAGGTGTGACTAAAGAACAATCAGAGGATTCTGAAAGGAAAGAACTTGACGCTTCAAAAATGCTTCCAAGAACAAGACAACTGAGCCCATAGGGCATAGGCCATAATGATCGCATGGAGAATGAAAGAAATCTAATCACAAATCAACAACAGCAATGCAGAATTGTGCAGGAACCAGATAGATGAGCCCAAGAGAGAAAGGGATGTGATCAATAACCATAAGAATGGGGTGAATCTAACGTCCTCTGCACTCCCTTCTACACTGCAAAAGGACCATGGGAGCATAGACCTGCAAGGCTGGCAAGCTCAAACATTTCACAGCTCAAAATTACACCTAGTGCCAATGACAAGAGGCAGGAGGAGGAGGAACAGGAGGAGGTGAAGGAAAAACAGAAAGAAGGAGAAGAGAGGAAGACCAGGAAGCGGAGGAAGAGGAAGAAGAGGAAGAAGAGGAAGAAGAAGAAGAAGAGGAAGAAGAGGAGGAAGAGCAGGAAGAGAAGGTAGAGGAGAACGAGGAGGAGGAGGAGGAGGAGGAGGAGGAGGAAGAGGAGGAGGAGGAAGAGGAGGAAGAGCAGGAAGAGGAAGAGGAGGAAAAGCAGGAAGAGCAGGTAGAGGAGAACGAGGAGGAGGAGGAGGAGGAAGAGGAGGAAGAGGAGGAAGAGGAGGAGGAGAAGGAAGAGGAGAAAGAGGAGGAGGAAGATGAGGGGAAGGAGGGAGAGGAGGGAGAGGAAAAAGCAGAAGGAGAAGAAAGAAGAGGAAACCTAAACCAAAAAAAAACACAGTGTTTTCACTGTTCAGCAGCATAGTGTATTCCCATTCAAATATGTGAAAGCATGCCTGGAAAGCGTACAAGACGCACTCACCACAAATGCAAAAAGAAGGCAGAGTGTTAGATCTGTAGCACCGCTAGCAAGGATTAACCCTGTGTATATCACCTGCACGTAGACAGCATTTGGTTGAAGCAAATGAGTGGATATGCAAACATTCAGGATGCTCCCAGTTTACCGGATTTAGCAAACCCATACCTTCATCCATTCCGCCATAACTCCCGCAGGAAAAACGGGGTTTGAACTCACAACTTCCGGCATGATGGACCGGCATGCTGACCACCAAAGCTATTTCCCCATAAGGAAAATTACAGCCTCAAACCGGTCACCCGCATCCGAGGCCCGTTTTGCCTGGATGGATGTCCAGTGAAATGGTGCCCCGGTACTTCCCCGAGAGTCGTGGCAGCATGCATGCCGCGCGACTTTGATTTTGTAGCTGGGAAATGTACGGGTGGCTTGATGAACGCTAGTCCCTGATGCAAACCAAATGACTCATAAGAGTCGTAACCCAAAAAAAAAAAAACTTACAACCACCCTGCGCAACACACAGAGTGCAATACAAAGTGTGTGTCTTTCCATCGGATGATAACCTCAGCTGTAATGCAAAGAGAGATTATTGTCTTCCTGTTTCTGCGATTCATCTTACCCCTGCATCATCGTCATTCTTCAGGAAAATTTGATGGCTGCTCAACTTTCAAATACTCCATTCTGGGCAAAAAAAAAAAGGCAAATCGATTCTCGGACTTCCTCTCTCTCATCAACAAGCCGCAGTTCGTTAATTGAGCGCATGCAGCTGTTGTCATCCTCTTCTCAACAGAAGGAAAGCAAGACAAGAAGAGCTTGGGGACAGCTGTCACTCACGATTTCAGCGAGAAAATGAGCACATGAGACATACTCAAACCAATCTCCTCGCGGAATGCCATATATTCTATCCCCAGAGATCACTTCATCTTTGCCAGGTAGACGTGCACCACCATTCGTCTTGCTGCTTGTCCGTTTGTCAGCCCGCAAGGCTCCCTATAGAATATAAAACAAGGATAGATCAGAGGGGAGCGGAGAGGGGGGGGGAGGGGCGAACGACAGGCCACACACAAGCTCGCAACACAAGAACATGCATGAACAAAGAACCAACACAGGGCAGACAAAGGAGGGAGGAGACACAGAGGTGAGGCAGAGATTCAGAGAACAAACGTGTGCATGTCTGTGTGTGTGTCTCTTGTCAGATCCTCACTGTTGTCACAACCAATTCAATTCCCATAATTATTAGTGAACTGACCATTTTTTGCCTCACGGCGGCAGTGGGATGTGTGTGTATGCGTGTGTGTGTGTGTGTGTGTGTGTGTGTGTGTGTGTGTGTGTGTGTG